GTTTGGTGTTCCTGTCTGTGCACCCGTGCTCAAACACACGGTGCCGTGCTCAGATGCACACACAGGTCAGGTCAGCTGGGCCCTGGGGCCGTGCCCGCTTCTGAAAACTCTGATCCGGCACCAAAGAGGGGTGAATTGCAGCTTTCTCCTTGAATAACTCTTGAACCAGATGCTGCAGCAGGTTGCAGCTGGAGATATTGGATCTTTGGGATATCAAAAAGATGTGGTGCAAGTTTGGAGATGAAATTCCAAGCGGAAAAAATGTTCCAATGTTGGTGTTTTTGGCATCAACAGGTACACTGCTATCCTAGATACATGTGCCCGAAGGCTGTGTGTATAAGGTTATAGCTAGTAGGAAGATTTAAATCTAACCTACTAAGGAAGAGAACAGAGAAATTAGTCACAGGCCCTTATTTCCCTGTTATATTCCTCCTCCTAATTAAAAAAAAATTTTTAGTCTTTTAGGTTTGTTCCTATCTTCAGCTGTAGTTGTTCATGCTTAACTCGAAGGGGAAGCCATTGTTGTGTGCTTGGTAATCGAGATTACTAAGCATGGTGGTGTTGTTTGCTAGCTATCGTAGGTTGCCAAGGCCATTGAAAATCTAGCGTTGTTGGTTGGTGTTGGTAGCTAGAGAGGCTAGCTATTGTCGGGTATTGTTAGCTAGGGAAGCTAGCTATTGTCGGATGTTGTTAGCTAGGGAGGCTAGCTATTGTCGGATGCTTTTTGCAGGTTTGGTATTGTTGTCACCTGACACCAAGATGCCAGGCTGCTGCTCGGCAAGCCGAGGCCATTTTTTGGTATTGTCACCTGATGCCAAGGCACCAGGCTGCTGCTCAGCAAGCTGAGGCCATTTTTCTTGAGCTAGGGCTCATGTTTTTCCGGGCCGACCCCGCCTTACCCCTCCATGTGGTTTACCTTTGACGGCTCTGGGAATCGAACCCATGACCTTCACATGCCCTAGCACATGATGCCACCGGATGATCTTACCACTAGACCATCCCACCGTCGGGAAGAGAAGGTACAGTTTACTGTCTCTGCCCCCAAAGAGCACTACCCCAAAAGGATTCAAGCTGCCTTCTTTCAACTCAAGCTAGGCAAAGG